CTTTCGTACATTACGCTTCACTGTTGGAGGTAAATCAAAAATCACTTCTCCAAAATTCATTTTTATTTCTAGTCTGACGCGACACGGGCGCGTTTCGTAAAACTTATTACATTTTCAAAGACTTCACAAATACACAACTGATTAGAACGTATCTCTGATTTTATATCTACATTTGAGTGAGGTGGGAAGGGTGATGTGGCATTAACACAAGACAGAACAGGAGGGGATATTAATAGGGTATTAAAAGTATCAACACAAGACAGAACAGAAACGATGGGTATTGAATAGAAGTGTTTGTAGAAAGCCTATTGGTCCATATTTCTTGATGCTTCTATATTGGAGCGGAGTCTTGAGGTGGGTAGAATATAGTTGTGCAATAATTGGCTGTTGATTGCTGGTGTTGACTTCTTGATGTGTAGTGCCTCGCAAACGTCAAGCCGCCTGCTATCGCTGTATCTATCGATGATTTCTGTGTTGTTTACTAGGATTTCTCTGGCGATGGTTTGGTTATGGGAAGAGATTATATGTTCCTTAATGGAGCCCTGTTGCTTATGCATCGTTAAACGCCTAGAAAGAGATGTTGTTGTCTTGCCTATATACTGGGTTTTTTGGAGCTTACAGTCCCCAAGTGGGCATTTGAAGGCATAGACGACATTAGTCTTTTTTAAAGCGTTCTGTTTTGTGTCTGGAGAGTTTCTCATGAGTAGGCTGGCCGTTTTTCTGGTTTTATAGTAAATCGTCAGTTGTATCCTCTGATTTTTGTCTGTAGGGATAACGTTTCTATTAACAATATCTTTCAGGACCCTTTCCTCCGTTTTATGAGCTGTGGAAAAGAAGTTCCTGTAAAATAGTCTAATAGGGGGTATAGGTGTTGTGTTAGTTGTCTCTTCAGAGGTTGCATGGCTTTTCACTTTCCTTCTTATGATGTCTTCGATGAAACCATTGGAGAAGCCGTTATTGACTAGGACCTGCCTTACCCTACAGAGTTCTTCGTCGACTTGCTTCCATTCTGAGCTGTGGCTGAGAGCACGGTCGACGTATGCGTTAACAACACTCCTCTTGTACCTGTCTGGGCAGTCGCTGTTGGCATTTAGGCACATTCCTATGTTTGTTTCCTTAGTGTAGACTGCAGTGTGGAAACCTCCGCCCTTTTCCATGACTGTTACATCTAGAAAAGGCAGCTTCCCATCCTTTTCCGTCTCGTAAGTGAAACGCAGCACGGAACTCTGCTCAAATGCCTCCTTCAGCTTCTGCAGATGTCTGACATCAGGTACCTGTGTAAAAATGTCGTCAACATACCTGCAGTATATGGCCGGTTTCAAGTTCATGTCGACTAAGACTTTTTGCTCGATGGTACCCATGTAGAAGTTTGCAAACAGGACACCTAGGGGAGAACCCATGGCGACCCCATCTACTTGCTTATACATGTGCCCATCCGGGCTCAAGAAGGGTGCCTCTTTAGTACAAGCTTGGAGTAGTTTCCTTAGAATATTCTCTGGTATGTCAAGATGAGTACAGGCTGGATCACGATACACTCTGTCGGCTATCATCCCGATTGTCTCGTCCACAGGTACGTTGGTGAACAGTGATTCCACGTCCAACGAGGCTCTTATCCCTGTGGCCCGTGTGCCCCGCAGTAAGTCAACAAATTCTTTTGGGGACTTCAGGCTGAAGGCGCAAGGGACATAAGGAGTCAGCAGGCCGTTGAGTCGCTTCGCCAGTCTGTACGTGGGTGTGGGTATCTGGCTAATGATTGGCCGAAGTGGGTTTCCAGGCTTGTGTGTCTTGACATTTCCATACGCATATCCAGGTTTATATTCCCCAATAATCTTTGGCAGGTGGAGTCCGGATTTCTTGGCGTTCACAGTTTCAATCAGTTTGTTGACCTTTGCTTTCAATTCAGCTGTAGTGTCCTTCGTTGCCCTTTGGAATTTAGTTTGGACAGAGAGTATGAGGTTCATTTTCGCCAGATATTCGTCTTTTTTAAGAATGACATATATTGGCGACTTGTCACCTCTCCTGACAACTATCTCCTTGTTCTCACGAAGGCTTTTAGCTGCCGCTTTGAGCTCGAGGGACAGTATGGTGCTTCTGTAATTGCCTCGATTCTTTCCTCCTTCCGCAATAAGTTAGCTTGTAAGGTATCTTTGGTAGTGACCTTCTTTTGTGTCTCGAGGTCGAATATGTCGTCCTCAAGACATATATATATATATATATATATATATATATATATATATATATATATATATATATATATATATATATATATGTCGTACCTAGTAGCCAGAACTCACTTCTCAGCCTACTATGCAAGGCCCGATTTGCCTAATAAGCCAAGTTTTCATGAATTAATGTTTTTTCGTCTACCTAACCTACCTAACCTAACCTAACCTAGCTTTTTTTGGCTACCTAACCTAACCTTACCTATATATATAGGTTAGGTTAGGTTAGGTAGGGTTGGTTAGGTTCGGTCATATATCTACGTTAATTTTAACTCCAATAAAAAAAAATTGACCTCATACATAGTGAAAAGGGTAGCTTTATCATTTCATAAGAAAAAAATTATAGTAAATAAATTAATTCAGGAAAACTTGGCTTATTAGGCAAATCGGGCCTTGAATAGTAGGCTGAGAAGTGAGTTCTGGCTACTAGGTACGACATATATATATATATATATATATATATATATATATATATATATATATATATATATATATATATATATGTCGTACCTAGTAGCCAGAACGCACTTCTCAGCCTACTACGCAAGGCCCGATTTGCCTAATAAGCCAAATTTTCATGAATTAATGTTTTTTCGACTACCTAACCTACCTAACCTAACCTAACCTAACTTTTTCGGCTACCTAACCTAACCTAACCTATAAAGATAGGTTAGGTTAGGTTAGGTAGGGTTGGTTAGGTTCGGTCATATATCTACGTTAATTTTAACTCCAATAAAAAAATTGACCTCATACATAATGAAATGGGTAGCTTTATCATTTCATAAGAAAAAAAATAGAGAAAATATATTAATTCAGTAAAACTTGGCTTATTACGCAAATTGGGCCTTGCATAGTAGGCTGAGAAGTGCGTTCTGGCTACTAGGTACGACATATATATATATATATATATATATATATATATATATATATATATATATATATATATATATATATATAACTATATATATATATAACTATATATATATATATATATATATATAACATATATATATATATATATATATATATATATATATATATATATATATATATATATATATATATATATATATATAACAGTTGCATATGTCCTGGGGACCATTCAGGCTTGTTCGCATATATATATATATATATATATATATATATATATATATATATATATATATATATATATATATATATATATATATATATATATATATATATATATATATATATATATTATAAGAGTTCTTACATTCTTGTTTAACAAATTTAACAAATCGCAAGTGATAATAGCTCACTAGTACGCGTAGTGTTTCGGGCAAGTCCTTAATCCTATGTTCCCTGGAATACGACCCCGCGAAAAATCGTTTAACAACCAAGTACCCATTTTATTGTGGAGTTAAACAGAGGCTACAGTTTAGGATTTACACCCAGTAAATCCTCCCCGGCCAGGATACGAACCTAGGACTAAGCCACTACCAAAATACTCAGAGTGTAAACTCTGTGATAAACCTTTAATGCATTCACTAGAACACTATATTGTTGAATGTGAGACCGTGAAAGACTTTAGACCTCCTGGCCTATTGTACCACCAACTGTGTAACTATTTCATTGACTCAGGTGTTCTGGATGACATCTTAGCAATTTATCCAAAATTTGCTTGTCCATTTTAAAGAGTGAAGAACAATTTTATTTATATTACTTCTAAGATGCATCACTTATGAACCCATCCCTGTCCTTGTGTGGCAGTGCACAATAGAAAGTTGTTTTCACATATTCATACATTAAAACACTGATTGTAACCATGATATATATATGTGATTCAGCCTACAGTTTAGAATTATTGTCTTGTGTATGACCCTCTGTCCTGCGTGACAGTGAATACCAGCATTATCCTCACTTTAATAAGACTTAATTGAAATCCTCATATTAGGCAAAATTTTAATTAATTTTGTCAATAAAGATGCTAATATTAATAATAATAACCCAGGACAAAGCGCTCGGGAAACGCCAGACGAGCATCTTATACTACTACACCACGCGGGAACTGGTGTAAATCTATGCAAACACTCCATGCAAATAAAAGGGCCCAATCTTTGGCACTCACTCCCTGATGTATGAAAAAATTGTCCAACCCTGTTCTGTTCAAAAGTAATAATAAAAAAGTACCCAATTTCATCCTCATATGTTCTTACCTTGTGCTTCAAACTCACACTGCATCTTGTACTGCCCGCTTCCCAACGTTATGCATGTTAGTAGCTTTGTATGAATGTTAAAATACCAAGCTTATTTAATCTCACCAACCCATTGTACCTTCTTGCAAGTAAATTATTATTATTTTGTATGGACTAATAGGCCTTCTGTAGTGCCCTTAACATCCTTGTGTTCTTGTGTACCACTTTCATAGACTTGTTGAACTGCAGGTAAAGCATCAGCTTTTCAAGAAATGACATGCACAAAACTTTGTTAAATGATCACCGTTTTCTTTGCATGGAGACCTCCAGAAACACACATCTGCTTTGGTCAAAGTTCAACATCGGGCAACAAAATTCATTACATAATTAAATCGGCTCATACCACGACCGTTGAGGACCTCAGGGCTAACATAAATATATGCCTGTAAACCAGGCATGACGGGGCTCATTTCACCAAAACTTTTAAAAATACTGAACAATTTGGAGGATATTGAGCCAGACAATTTTCTTCACAAGTGTGTTCACGAACTGTGAACAGTTTCACAAGTGTGTTCATCATTGCTTAAAATACAGAACAAAGACGAACACAGGGACTCACCGCAAAGTGGAGCAAGAGTGGGACGAGCTTGTTGGTGTCAACTGCTTGAAGACAGGAGATAAGCTGGTGACTGTCCTCTGTGGTGCAGTTGAAGTACTCGCCGATGTACTGGGCGACGGCGGCGTGTGCTCCACCCAGCGACCACGGACACAGTGCTGACCCAGACTGCAGGATAGCCTGCTGGAACAGTCCTGCCCAGACGCGTCACCATGTTACACATTCATCCATTACATTCGTTAACTTTGTAATCACATTTATTGACGACTGAAACTTAATATTACCACTTAAAATACGAGTTACATCATAACAATTTATTTGTGCAATAATTTTATGCAGCATTACATTTTGTACTGGATATTAAAACTAACCTAGTGCCTTGTGTGTAAGAATCTGAAAGTGAACGGACCCGGCGCCAGCACTCTCCCCAAACAACGTCACTTTAAGAGCGTCGCCACCAAATTTGTGGATGTTCTTCTGCACCCAGGTTAAGGCCAGGGTCTGGTCCTTCAGTCCCAGATTACCAGGAGCTGCTTCGTCTTCCGTAGAAAGGAAACCTGTCAAAAGAATACATTCTTAATCTTTTCTTTTCACAATGAGAAAGTTTTCCCTTTTTCAGGGTACTTGAAAAACAATTTGTAATCTCGTATTATATGTACAGCCCCTTTCAGATTAATCAACATTCATATCGTTTAAATATCTAAGATTGGAAGTATATTGGTTTGGAATTGGGTTTAAGTTTCATTAAGCTGGTGACTGTGGTCCACAATAGCTTACTGACCAACCAGCAAGTATACTTTAATCTGAACATAGTTCAATACTAAAGTAAACTTTCAGTGGATAGACATGTGAGCTGATTTAGCTGGGGACATTGTACACATAACGAGGAAAGCAAGAAATGAAAAAGACATATTATTTAACTACACAGAGAAGGAAACCAATGCAACTACTAAAATGTAAAATATTTCAGAGCAAATAACAATAACATAAGAATTAAGGAAACTTTAGAAGGCCTATTGTCCAATATGTGGCAGCTCTATCTTATGTCAATGCAAATTCACCGTGGAGGTGGTGGTAAAAAAAAATTATGTTAAGGAGTTTGCTATATCTGAGCAAGGTAAGGTAGGGCCGGGAGGGAAACGCATGTCTCGTCCACGTGGCTTTATTTACAAAACATGTAATGGTGTCAAACTGGTGTAGGTGCCATGAATATAACCATTACATACCTAACAGACAAATGAACATCGGCTCAGCCTTAACATTATGAACCTAACCTAGGTAGACTTATTCCTACAAAATACCATAATCCTAGCAGAGATTGATAATGTTTGTAAAACTATCAGCCAATTAGCTTAACGTATATTGTGGGAAATTTGCTAGAATCGATAACTGCAAAAGCCATATGTCTACATCTTGAAAAACATAGATTAATGAATGATTCATAACATGGTTTTATTAAGAGTTGTTCATGATTGATCAATTTTCCTTCTATTTTCCCTTCACTGTCTCGCCCATTGTCGACGTGAGGGGGCTTGGTTCGTGGCTGCTGGAGTGTGATGCTCAATAGGATGGCATTTTATCTGTCCTCTTAGAGCCTTGTGCTGTTGTTGTTGTTTAAGATTCAGCTACTCGGAACAACAGGTTCCAAGCGGCACGGTCCATGGTGAGCCCGTCGACTTACTTGGTGCATTAGATGTGCTCGCCTTGCGCTCCTGCAGCCTACTTTATCAATTTTGCTAGGCTCTTCTGCTTTGTGTGTGGAGAGTTTCTCATGAGTAGGTTGGCCGTTTTTTAGGTTTTATAGTAAATCGTCAATTGTATCTTCTGATTTTTGTCTGTAGGGATAAATGAGCTGTGGTATACCACAGCTCATAAAACGGAGGAAAGGGTCCTGAAAGATATTGTTGATAGGAACGTTATCCCTACAGACAAAAATCAGAAGATACAATTGACAATTTACTATAAAACCAAAAAAACGGCCAGCCTACTCATGAGAAACTCTCCAGACACAAAGCAGAACGCTTTAAAAGAGACCAACGTCGTCTATGTCTTCAAATGCCCACTTGGGGACTGTAAGCCTCAAAGAACTCAGTATATAGGCAAGATAACAACATCTCTTTCCAGGCGATTAACGATGCATAAGCAACATGGCTCCATTAAGGAACAGATAATCTCTTCCCACAACCAGACCATCACCAGAGAAACCTTAACAAACAACACAGAAATCATTGATAAATACAGCGATAGCAGGCGGCTTGACATCTGCGAGGCACTACATATCAAGAAGTCAACACCAGCAATCAACAGCCAATTAATGCACAACTATATTCTACCCACTTCAAGACTGCACCAATATAGAAGCATCAAGAGATATGGGCCAATAGGCCCTTTGCAGTTACTTCCATCCTTCCCTTTAATTTACCCAATTTATACCCATTGTTTCGTGTTCTATCTTGTGTTGAAAGTTTTGTTCACCTCATCCAAAACTGTTGTAACATATCAC